CCCCCCCAAGAGAAGTTTCCGGTTAATGCAGAGGAATGACATCAGTGGTTTCCCATCTCAGTAAATATAATTTTTGAAAGAGGACCATTGAGAGAAGGTCAGCTCGAACTTCAGAAAGGCATCTGTCCAGGAGGAAGAAGAGGCTGCCTTTGGATTGCGAAAATTCCCTATTATCAATATGCATAATCAGAATAATAAACTGTGTTCATGTATTATTAATGGCGCTATCTTTAATCTTTCCATGCAGCCATAGGAAACGTCTCTGGCAGCAGCTGTCCGGGCGCTACCATCCTAGCCCCGGACTCCTGGAGCCCTGGCTCACTGCGACCCCGCACACAGCCAGCTGGCCAGCAAGAGCCCGGGCAACCAACCGCCACGCTTCCCCTCCACGCACCGCCGTCCCCGGGCCACGCGCCCACCCTCGCACCCAGCGCCGGCCAGGGCAACCCACCGCCACCCGGCTTCCGACAACTTTGTTGTAATCACTGATCACTGATAACCAAGCGACAGCTATTTACGTAGCAAATTCAGAATGATTTCCCCCAGCAGAGCGTACCCTGTGCCGCGTGCCATTGTGCAAACAAGCTCCCAACGTACGGTACGCGTTCCTTCACCCTCCGCCATCCGAGGCATTCAAGCATTCACACTTTGCTACAGTGTGGGAGAGTTCAGGTGCTATTTTGAATGGTCTGTGTCTTAATATCACTCACTTCAGCTCATTAAATTCTTTGCATGTCTAAAACGACGCGTCAAAGTTACTTTGATGCCTTCAGATTTAGAGACAAACCAAAAGCAATGTAACCCCTCGATTTCACTCACTGTTCAGAGCTGCTGTCCTGTGGCATTTCCGACCAAAACGACTCCATAGCTGAGGTTTACGATGCATTTATTAGATACAACTACCCAGTCAACTGCTGTTAGACCAAGTGTTAGTTGCTGCATTGACTGGTATATAAGCACGACAAATTGATTTGTCTGGCACAAACACTCTGCTTCTCTCCAGTGAAAACAAATACAGTGACTATTATGCATTCAGTTAAATCAGTTACCAAAATCACGTAATTCAGAAGACGACAAAAAATAGGATTAAAATCTTTAGCTTGTGAGATATAAGGCACATCATGTTTGGAAAGTTTTTCAAACCTAACAGTGAAATTCTCCAAGTCACTACACCCACAATATAACCAAATTTTTGAAGAAAAAAAACAAAAATATGTTGTCATTATTTTGAAAGTCTAAATAGAATAAAATTCACAAAATGAGTGCTTAATAATTGTATAATAATAATAATTTGATCTAGTATCTTAAAAATGTGTAGTTCAGACTACCTTCAAATTAGGAAGTCCTTCTTTGGAAATAAAAAGTTAATTGACATACCGGTGCATTTAACAAAAACGGCTATGCTGAACACAGAGAAGAGGTGCCTTTAATTAAGCACAAATTGCAAACACCAGGCACAAAACTATACGCAATGACGTGGTTATATCCAGAGATCCACCGGCGGTTTGCAGGGAAGCCTCGTCCAGATTTACCGTCTGATTTAGAACAGTACTCTCTGTGTGTAACAATACTACGTACAGTGTGTTGGTATGTGTAACTGCCTGGGCTTTTAAAACACCGCAGCTCTCTACCCGGAGATGCATTTGCACCCTGCCCAAAGCACCACATCCTCCAGGCAGGGAGCCCTCTTGAACAAACTCAGTGGAAGAGTAAGCATTTCAAACGCTTAAGCATCTTTGCTAGTTTTACTCCTAATTTGTCAAGCACATAAAAGCCTCTATATAAAAACTTCAGTTGCCAGACAATTATTGTACACACATGTTCTACCGCAAAGAGCTCTGATACTGCTTTTGTCACCAACCAGGACTCCTGTTTTTATGGAACGCAGAAGCTGCCCATCTAGTACTACTACAGCCAAATAAACAAACATACAAACAAACAAATCCTCCAGTTAAATTTCAGGGACTCTTCAAAAGCAGTCAAATACTTAGAAAGAAAATGCCTTAATTTTCACCAGGAAAAGAAACCAGCCTCAAGATTTTAATTCACCAAAAAATATTCCATCAGCAAACAGTGATCTCTAACACTGACGAGTTCTTTTCCCGGAAGAGGCTGGTGTTTATACTCGGATACTTGCTTGTTTATTTATTTAATTCAAGCAGCCTTCAGTTCTCACTGACAAAATTAATTCTCGTGCAAGATGTTTTGATTATCATTTCTGACATAGAAAAGATAGCATCTGAAATCGTAAATAAAAATCTCCAGTGCTCAATTTAAAAATGAGAAAGATTTAAACCAGCTCACCTTGAACAATTATACAGAGAAGCAGTTTGGGGTTTGGGTTTTTTTTTTTTTTAAAAAAAAGATAAATGTATGGAAATACTGTGGGAAAAGTCCCAATCTTGTGAAAATCATAATGACAACAGCAATAATCATAGCCAGCGCTCAGGAATAATTCCGCTCAAATCTGAATGAATCTGCTCCCCAGAAGAGATTAGCAGAACCACAACAAAGGTAATGCCTACGGATAAATAACTAACAACATTCTGACTACATACAAAACAAAAATTGTACATACTTGAGCCAGTGAAATGTCCACTTGCCAAGGAAGTTGGTCCATTTTTCCCACTGCTCACAGGAGGTGAAAACATCTAGAAAAAACAAAGAGGCATTACTACTGGAAAACAAGAGATTCCCGAGTCCGCTGCGAGTCAAAAGTTCCTTCCAAATTCGCTGTGAACTCCGTTAACAGTTTGTCTCCCGCGAAGCATCGTCCCCCCCAGCCCGGAAAACCAGTCGATATTCCTGCCCCCCCAGCCCCTCACCACCCCCTCCGCGGGTTTATTAGGCTCATTAGCTCCCCAAACAATATTCGCTTCCCGAGGAGCCCGAGCGATCCCCGTCCCCAGCAGTGCTACCCCGGCTGGGAAGCGGGGCTCGCTCCCCTCTCCAACTCTCACGCTGACAAAGGCGAAAAAAGTTTTGGTTTTTTTGTCGAAACCTTGGCCATAAATGTAGCGATGTCCATTTCCATCCCGCTCTAGGATTTGGCTGTCATAGGTGAGCCCAGATAAGAACAATAACGCAAAGTGCCACCTGCCCTAAATTCTCATTTCGTCTCTAACACGAGAGCACTTTGAAGCAAGGCTCTCTCCCTCTCCCCCTCTCTCTCCCTCTCTCTCGCTCCCTCTCTCTCTCCCTAGCATTTATTTCGACCCTAATTGGTTTCTCTCTTCTTCGACGTGTCTAGTGGATAATACGCACCTTCCCTGAGTCAGAGCCTGCAAAAAGCGAAGGAACAAATGGAAAAAGTGCAACAAGCAAAGAGGGGGCTGCAAAGCTGCCTCGGGCTACGTTTCCTGGCCAAACTTCCCCAAGCCATCCCTCCAGAGCCGAGCCTGGAGCAGCCCCA